CGTGTGAGCCAACAGCTGACTGACACGAATGTTAACTAGCATGCTAGCATGCAAAAATCGATAGCTGCATTCGTCACAAGTGGGAAAAATTTAAATCTGCATGGCACTTTACTCTAATTGGCTCATTCGCTTGCTTAAACTCAACGTTGATTCTGATTCCGCAAAACTGGGTTGGGTGTGAAAAAGTTATTGGTGTTAACATTCTTTTTTCATTCGGTTTTTCCAGTTACGAGTCTTTTTTTAAAGCTGATCGTTTTGTGTTCATTTTGTTTAGTTCTTTTTTTGTAACAGATTTAATATTGAGTATAGAGCTTAGAAAAAAAATCGCAGTGTGAGATAGGCAAGAAGTAAGGCATGTAGCAGCATCAGCACGGCAAAGGGCACTCCTTTAAAGGCAAGGAAGGGCAAAAAAAATTTAAGTCAAGTGATAGCGATTGCTGTATGAGTCGTACGATTTTTGAATCAAGCACGGGCAACGCCGGGCCATGCTGCTAGTTTTAAGATAAAAATCTAAAGGTTTTGAACTCCGAAATATTTGAATTAAATTTATGTATCTTGTTTGCAACAGAATCTATTTTGGCTTAAATAATTGTCAAGATCGTTGAAAAAGCGATAATCCGTGGTTGAGAGATTAGGTGAATATAATGGATGTGTGAATGTATTCCAAATTGGTACGCTTCTTCAATGTCATCATGGCAAAATGTGACCGAGGATTGTCATGAAACAGAATTTGAACTTGTCGACTAACCACAGCCGGTCGCATTTTGATTAACTTAATGTGCATTTCGTCCAGTTGTTGGCAGTAAATTTCGGCAGTTATGCTTTGGTCAGAGCTCAGGAACCTGTAGAGGTTAATGCCAATGTTGCATAACTACTCATCACTGTTGGGGCAATGTCGGCTTTGGAAAATATATGGGTCCTTCGTCATAAGCCGTCCTCCTTTGTATGATGATAAACTACATCCGCGTCCTGGGTATGACGATAAACTACGTCCAACAGCAAGGCCTCTGATCAGAAGGTTTTGAGAAGCGTGGAATCACCTATTAAAGGCTGGTGTTCCCAGGTCCGCCGTAGACCGGAGTGGTAGCACCTGTTAGGGTCCCAGCTATAGGCAAATAGTTAACCATAAAAACACCATGAAAGTGTAAAAATAAGTTTTACTAACAGAGATATTTCGTAAAAAGATTATTTCCAGCAATAAATTTTTGAAGAAGAAAAAAACTACCAGCAATACATTTAAAAAAAAAACATTGCCAACAATGTTTTTTTTTGAAAAAAAAAACAAATGTTATTCGCAATACATTTTTGAAAAAGAAATATTATCAGCTATACATTTTTGAGGAAAAGATATTACCAGCAATACTTTTTTGAAAAAACAAATTATTACCAGCAATACATTTTTGAAGGGAAAATATTACAAGCAATAGATTTTTGACAAAACAAAATATTAGCAGCAATAAAAAAATTTGTCGGCATTAAATAACCCACTGAGTTTGATATGCCGTAAAACAAACCAAAACAAACCAATCGTCATGGGCCGATCGCTTATGCTTGTCCTAAGGCATCCATTTCTCATTTCAGGTCGTTATTCTATCAAAAATGTACCATTTCGAATTTAACATATTCAGCATTGAACACACTTCAAAATGTTGAAATCTTTGATTTTGCCTCAGTTTATTTGGGACCCATTCCTCAAGTTTCTTCACCTTGCGAATTTTCTTCAGATTGTTCGATATTGATAAAATGCTGATAACACTTTCAACGGTTGATTTCAAATTACAGATGGATGCCCGCGGCCACCTTGATCTTCAGTGCTCATATCCCCACTGCGGAACTTCGTAAACTGGCGCTACACTGTCCGATCACAGGTGGATCCTTAACCTCCTGCTCTGTTAATGCAATTTGAGAAGCTTTATGACTAAGAATTGATTCTTTCTTTTCTTTTTCTTGATGACGCGTGTATAAAATCGTAAGTATAATTCTACAAGAGATTGATATAAAATTAAAACAGATTATACTGTAATCATGAAGAATGAGTATAGAATAATTTTGAGAATACCCTAGACGAAACATGTGAAAGACGACTTTTTAGAGGAAATGGAAACAAAAAAAAAAAAAAAAAAAAGAAAATGTTTAGATTTATCATCAGGAAGAAACGGCTGAAATATTTATGGCATACATAACGAGAAAAGAGGGCTTGGAAAATTCAATACTCACAGAACAGATTGAAGACACGATGGATAGAAGAAAACAACGCATAACGTACTTAGATTGCTTGAGTAAATGGATGGCTGGAGAAGTTTTAGGAGCTATATCAAAAAGTACAAGGAATGGGCGAGAGATATGATCGGCAACACGCCTGCTGAAGGAACACAACACATAAAAGAAAACGAATATATATATATATATATATATATATATATATATATATATATATATATATATCATATATATATATATATATATATATATATATATATATATATATATATATTAAGACATTTTTATGTTTAACATTCTTTTTGTTTTTGATTTTTGATTTTTAGCAAAGTCGAATTTACTGTATTTAAACGTCAATCTTCCATGAATCTCTCACTCTCATGGAAGATTGAAGTTTAAATTCGACCTTGCTGACCGAAATCTCCTTCGTGGGTAAAGGCACGTCACGCTAAATGACGGTTCCGTATAGGATACAGGTTCGAATCCTGTCGGAAGACGAATATTTTCTGTAGAAATTTCTCGGACATTCAGGCCGGTAAATGTTGTTTAATACTGTTTATTATAAACAGAGCATTTACTTAAATATTTGTATCTATAAAAAGAATGTTAAACATAAACATGTCTGAAAATAACGGTCGGACTTTAATACATATATATATATATATATATATATATATATATATATATATATATATATATATATCACTGTCATCGATTAATAACTTCAAATTCCTGCGTCCCTAATAATTTCAGTTTTATATAATAATATATTTTGTGCAACTATTATACTAAAATACTAGAACACAAATGATTTATTGTCAGGAGCCGTGGTGGAGTAATGGACAGCGGCTGATTGAGGAATTGGAGAGCCGATTTCAAATTCCAGTTGAATCCATTAAATGTTGAAAGGTATGACGGCCACCTCACCAGCTAGCAAGATAGACCGGGTTCTATAGCCTTAGATGGCAACTGGCAACAACTTCCATTATATAAATGGTTTTATTTCTGTTCTACCATTTATTTACACAGGTAGCTTATTCGCTATTTTCTTCGGCATCACTTGTCTTCAGTACTTCCCATGACTGCCAAATTCTTCAAGTCCTTATTACACGTTGTGCGTATTTAAAATCGCATATCTCTTTCGAAGTACAAGCCTTCCTCCTCATTCATATTTTCATTAAAATTGTCTCGTTGTTATCTGCACTGAAGTTACCTCTCCATATTAAACTATAAATTGATTTACTAAACACTAAAACATGAAATATTTATCGCGGTTCAATACACAGCAAACAAGATGGAATTATATTTGGGCATTTCTGATCTTTACGAATGAATGGATCAGTATTTATAACCAATTCATTGATTTTATATTCTTCTTTTGACCCATAAGAATATCTCTTTGTCGCTGTTCAGCCATCAATTCACATGCATTTCTAAGGTATGTCACTTGCTTCTTAACTCTGTTTCTCTTGTCTTCAACATATACTCTCCGTGTTAAATTAAACCTTATTCCTTATGTACCTTACACATTTCAACTGTCTCTTTCTGGCTGTAATTATAACTTGTGGTTCCTGTTTCCATTATAACTTCAAGCTCACTCGTATTCGCTTTCTTTGGAATTTGTAGCAATTGCCATAATAACTACATCTCTATCGATTCCAGGCTTTTCTTCATTTACCATATCGGACATTAGATATTGTATTGGCTGTCATATTGGTTATTAGATATTACATAGCATTTAGCCTTTGTTTCTAACGACAATTTACTTTATTTTAATACTCTCATGCCTAATTTCGTGATGATTCCTTTCGCTAATCCAGTTTGTCTTCGGATTTTCGCCGGTTGTTACTTCTTCCTATTATTATTATTATTATTATTATTATTATTATTATTATTATTATCTCTTTTGGTTTCTAGTGTATACTCCTTGCTTTCCGGGTCCCGGCCAGAGACGTAAAGTCAGAAATGGCATAATGACATTTTCCACTGAGCAGCTTTGAACAAAAATCGCACATATTTTACATAGATAAAACCCTACGCAAGTTCTGGGTTGTACTTGTGAGTACATATATTATTATTATTATTATTATTATTATTATTATTATTATTATTATTATTATTCCTTCTTTTAATCCAACTCGTCCTTTTTCATGCTATCGTTCTTGTCGTCCTCGTCTTTTTCCTCCCACCTTTCCCTCTTTTTCCTCCTTGTCTTCTTCTTCTTCTCCTTCTTCTTCTTCTTCTTCTTCTTCTTCCATGTGCCTCCTACTGTTCCTCACCCCCTCCCCTCTTTTCCCTCCTTGTTTTCTTCTTCTTCTTACTTGTTCCTGTCTTCGGTCTTATCCTCGTCCACCTCCTACTTCATCTCTCCTCTTCCTCTTTTCATTCTTCTCGTTTCCTCATCTACCATTTCCTCTTCCATTTCTTCTTCTTCTTCTTCTTCCATGTGCCTCCTACTTTTCCTCACCCCTTCCCCTCTTTTCCCTCCTTGTTTTCTTCTTCTTCTTCTTACTTGTTCCTGTCTTCGGTCTTGTCCTCTTCCTCTTTTCATCCTCCTCGTTTCCTCATCTACCATTTCCTCTTCCTCCTCCATTTCTTCTTCTTCTTCTTCTTCTTCTTCTTCTTCTTCTTCTTCTTCCTCTTCTTCTTCTTCCATGTGCCATATTCCTTCATACTGTGGGTTAACATAGCTCTCCATAAACTCCTATCATTTTATTATTTACATTATTTAAATGTGAACTATTCTCCTCATCTTTGTTGTAGAAGTACGGCTGCGTCACGTTGAAACACCATTCCTCGTACGATCACTGAATTTAAGCAACGTCAAGCCTAGTCAGTAGCAAGATGGGTGACCGCTTGGGAATGCCAGGTACTCTAAGCGTGGATGTGCGGCTGGTGTAGTGGATAATACGTCGTAATTATTATTCGGGAGCTGCGTTCCAATTCCCGTTTTTATTTTTATTTTATAAACTTACCTGTAAATACCCTTGGTGAAGGCTCTTTCTTTGTAGTATGTTACACCTTGTACAAGGCCCTGGGTCACTCAAAGTAGAGGGTTAATTTAAGGGGTAGCTTATATAAATAGAAGTGGGGATAGAGTTAACTTTAGACTTGAACAAGTTAAGATTTTAGTGATCGGGGAAACAACCCCTTGGGAGTCTGTTCCACAGAGCAGTGGTTCGCGGGAAGAAGCTGTCCGAGTGGAACTTACTTCTCACCGACTGAATACTTAGGGAAGGTGGTTTGCTACTCTGTAAGTATCATAACGGGTCCTAGCCATGAAGTTTAGAACTAGCGGAATCAAAGAATGTGTCCGAGCACTTTCCATGGAATTGATGATAGCGCAGTAGAATCTTGCGACATATCGCCTGTGAGAGAGAGAGAGAGGATGAAGGGTGGAAAATAATTCTTCTTCAACAAGATGAACCTCTTCTGCCCCACTACATATGGGTTAACTAATAAGACTTCATTAACTAAACCTATATTATCTAAAAAAAAAAAAGTTGTAACATTTTTTCTGGCTTTAAATAACCTGCAAAGGGTTGATAAGCCGTAAAAAACGAATCAGACAAGCTACTGTATTTCTCTGGATGTCATATCAATACACGGATAATAGTTACGTCCATATCACATTGAAACACCGTCCCCCGTACGATCACTGAAGTTAAGCAATGTTGAGCCCAGTCAGAACCTAGATGGATGACAGCTTGGAAATGTCAGGTTCTGTAAGCTTGGATCTGCAGGTGGCGTAATGAATATTGGCTCGGAATTATTAATCAGAGAACCGAGTACCAATTCCAGTTGGGTCCGTTATATTCAGTAAGGCGCAAAAACTCTTGGGAAAGGTAAGAATCCAACTCTTCCCTCCTCAGTTATGGTTTAATTAGTAAAATTTGTACAGTGTAACCCGGATATAAGAGAGTTGTCGGGACCGGAGAAGAAGTCTCTTATATCCGGGTTTCTCTTATATCCGGGTTTCTCTTCTATAGTTAGGTCTGCTGCTAGAAAAGTTGGTTCAGTGTGTCGTACCAGAAAATTTTCTCGACAGAATCCATTTCACACGCGCGCACGCACGCAATATATATATATATATATATATATATATATATATATATATATAATGATAATTCGACCTTGCCGTGTATCTAAATGGTATTATTTTCTCGACAGAATCCATTTCACACGCGCGCACGCACGCATACATATATATATATATATATATATATATATATATATATATATAATAATGATAATTCGACCTTGCCGTTATTATCTAAATGGTATTATTTTTCGACAGAATCCATTTCACACGCGCGCACGCACGCATACATATATATATATATATATATATATATATATATATATATATAAATGATAATTCGACCTTGCCGTGTATCTAAATGGTATTATTTTCTCGACAGAATCCATTTCACACGCGCACGCACGCATACATATATATATATATATATATATATATATATATATATATATATAATGATAATTCGACCTTGCCGTGTATCTAAATGGTATTATTTTCTCGACAGAATCCATTTCACACGCGCGCACGCACGCACACATACATATATATATATATATATATATATATATATATATAATGATAATTCGACCTTGCCGTGTATCTAAAATAATTTTCTCGACAGAATCCATTTCACACGCATATATATATATATATATATATATATATATATATAATGATAATTCGAATCCTATTTCACTCGACAGAATCGCGCACGCACGCACACATACATATATATATATATATATATATATATATATATATATATATATATATATATATATATATAATGATAATTCGACCTTGCCGTGTATCTAAATGGTATTACACGTTAGGCTATATGATAGTTCCATGTAGGATACAGGCTCGTATTTTGTTGGGGGACGCATATTTTATATGAAATTTCTCGGATATCAGGCTAGTTAATGTTGTTAATACTGTTTATTTTAAACAGATTTTCTACTTAAATAATTTTATTTATAAAGGTAAGGTAAAAAAATATATATATATATATATATATATATATATATATATATATTACTTGAAACGTTGTTTTAGCGGATATCCGTGTTTGAAATAGATGCTCCGTCTTTTGACATTATTGTGATATGTGTGTTTGTGTGTGTGTGTGTGACTGTTTCAGTGTGTTTGTGTGTGTGAGCGCACATCTGTAGATGAACATTGTCGTATGTAGATATCTGTCTACTCATGATTAAAGAATCAAAGATCGTTGTCGACTTAATGGCTAAAGAGCGCAAATAGTATGAGAATAATAAAGGGAGATCAATCAGTGCTTACGTAAAAACCATTTTAGCTTCCTATTCCGCCATTTTGTCCATTTATTCATTAATGACAACGTCTTTCGTTTTGTCATTTGCAGCCGCTAGCTATTTTCGGCGCGCAAATTCAATTACGGCACACTTATTCTATCGCCTTTTCCTTTTTTTTTTTTTTGCATTTCTAAACAAGTCATTTAAACGTTGTACAAATTGTCCCATTTACTCTCTTCAATCTCAAGTAATGACAAAAGTGTAAAAAAAACATACCAAACAAACCAAGAAAAAAACATGATCACGGTAAAGAACTGAGTCATGAACGCCGAGATCCCCTTAAACCGTCGGTCTTCCATTAGCCACTTTTATGAGGTCTTATCGAATTATCTCAGCGAGAATGATATGATGGGCTTTTCAGTGAATACATTTCATGAGGTGGGTAGGTATATGTCTGGCGTTAACTGGTTCCTTCCTCTGAGTATTTCTGTCTCAATCTGAGTAGTCGTTCATTGATTTGTAACATTTAAACGAAGCAAAAAATCCTCCTCATCATGTCCCGTGAGATCGTAGGGTCGCTGCACGTCTGAGAACATCAACTTTACGCATATCTTTGGTTGGAAGCTGGAGTGGCATCTACCCATGCGTGGCGTGTCTTGGGTCAAGTACCGCTTGCGGACCCCTTTTTCTCACCATTAGACACCACAACCTATTTGTTTTTTTTTTACAATGATGTTCACCGTGTACAAATCCCGGCCATAGGTAACACGAGGGATTACAGAATAAGTGACAGTTTTATGCGGGTATGCGGAAAAGAAAAAGAGTTAAGGCTAGATTTGAACAGGTTAAGATTGTATTAATCGGGAAAGCATACACTTTTGGAGTCTGTTCCACAATGCAGGGGTTCGTAGGAAGAATATACGCGAGGGAATCTTACATCTCACCAATGGAATACGAAGAGTATGGCAGTGATACGCTACAATGTGCATGGTATGGCGGGTCTCAGACGTGAAGGGTAGAACTGGTGGAACTAAGGAATGTAGTTTGTCTAAACATTTTTCATGTAAATAACGATAGAGGAATGAGATACTTTCGACGTTTCGTCTGTGAGAAAGCGGTTGTCAGGTGGAATATAATTTGTTACCTATAAGGACGGGGAAGCACTTTGAACTCTATGAAGACTGAAATGTGAAGACTGGGTAGCTGTTGACTATGTATGGCAACAGTACTATATTTTCTTACTGATCTATCACTTGAAAAGCTACAAGAATACAGGAAGGCTCAGGTACATACTGAAGAGGTACAGGGGACCATTTCTCGAGCATCTATATCGATGTACCGTATGAGCGAGTTCTTCTTGAGGTCTTGGTAGTGTCATAAACGCTCAAGTCACTGAACCTCTTTGGGGGAATAACCATTCTTTGTGATCACTATTCTAACGATATATATATATATATATATATATATATATATATATATATATATATATATATATATATATATATGTATCTATGTATTCCCTTCTCCCGTCGAATTAGACGTTTGTGGGTCAAGCAGACCAGCTCCCAGGAATCCGTAGACGGACACCGGCACATGAGACTTGATTATAATGGTGAACCATCCACACTTTTTGAAGGGGCGAATACAGAGACCTGGTTTCCTCCGTGCCAGAAGTTCACCAAACGACCCATAGCAGGTTTTGTCCTTGTCCTAGACCAGTTGCCATCCAAGGCTATAGAACCCAGTATGTCTTGCTATTTATCAATAGCTGGAGGGAGAAGAAGAGGGTTCAGAACTTTCCCGCGGGTATTAGCACGTAAGTGAATGCCATTGAGGCATGGTGAAGTAATAACTTCGGATTATTTACCTAACGGTTCTTTCCTATTTTTCTATATATTTGAGCGCGCACAAAACACACACACACACACACACACACACACACACACACACACACATATATATATATATATATATATATATATATAAGTATTTATATTTCTTATCATAAAAGACAAGAAATTAAGGAAGTGTATGCTTCTTGACAGAGCACTACCATGTGAGAGAAACACCTTCATGAAAATGGTCGAGAAATTGTCTGATTACAAGGAAGTGGAGATGTTCCCAGAAGATGGCCCTAATAGAAACATCCTATATACTAAGAAAAAATATATTGTATATATATATATATATATATATATATATATATATATAAATATATATATATATATATATATATATATATATATATATATATATATATATATATATATATATATATATATATTGATCGATGCATTTCTCCTCTGTTTTTTTCTAGATTAAGGCAAAATGCAAGTATTCATATAGAAGACCAGAAAGGTGGATCTTACAATCATTTTCAATCTAGGAACACACATAAGTATTCATTAGGTTAGCAAATGATTCACGCAAACTATGGAGGAAACAACCTGGTACAATTCAATGCCTAATAAACAAAATTGAATAAGTGATTTTTTTTCTTTAACTTTTTTTAATGGAAATTAGTATTTAATTATTTCAGTTTTGGATTAATCTATGCTCTATATATT